AGGACAGCCCTTGGGCTCTTTCTCCACCCTCCAGATGGCACCCTTCCCCCAGCTCCAGGCTCACACCTGCCCACACCTCTCCAGCCAGGTTCCCTCCTTTGTTGCTCTAGCATGTGACCCCTTGGGGCTGCCCCTATACCACCATTAACCACATTCCTACCAGCTGCTGAGAGGTTTGAAGAGGTTTGAGTGTAATGCTGAGGACACAAACCAGCTGGGAGGAGCCGGGACTGAAAGACTGAGCACCCTAAGTCACTGGAGGGGAGCATATAGGGCATTTCATTGTGAGGATGGGGGTGGTGAGTACAGGGGCGCTGCGGAGTGTAACAAAGGCCTTCTTGTCTCCCCTTGAGCAGGACTGACGGGCCACGTCAGAGGTCAGCAGACCTGGAACATGGCTCTGGAGTTAACCTAGCAGCCCACAGGCCTCACCTCCATGAGCCCCTCCCCCGGCAAGAGCAAAGCCGCCTCCATTCTCTGCCATTGACATGAGGCGGCCACTGTCAGCACCACTTCCTGAGGGGAACAAGGAGAGACTGAGGGTTCCAGTGAGGGTACATGCTTTCCTCATGAGCCTGAGACAGGAAGGGTCCTGGACAAGGACAGGGCAGGGCAGCACTTAAAGGGAAAAAAAAAAAAAAACCGAAACACTGCAGACATTTTGCAAGAATTTTGCTTTTCCTAGGGACTGGTAAACAAGATTAAAAACCTGATGACTCTAGGCCCACACGCCTGCTGCCACACATTTCCTTGGCTCAGTGTTTTGTTTCACCATTTCTGAGCTATCTTTCCAGATGACCACATTAGCTATTACGGGAAGCAAAGGGAGTTACAGACCTTGAGGCCAGACCAGTTCATGCTAGAGCCATGGGCACGTGGCCTCTATGAGATGTTCACTTTGGAGAGGGTCACGTGCTCTGCCCGACCCCTGAGCTGCTGCTGCTGATCTGCTGATGACTCACAATTAGCGACAATCAATGGACTTTAGCCAAGTCCATTTGTCACCTCCCCTTTTTCTGGGGACCACCCTGTTACACACTCTCCTTGCTTTCTCAGCCAATAAAGTCTAATTCTTTTGTTCTCAAACCTCAATCCTAAAGCCTATATAGACCCCTAGCCTGTGCCTTGGTGAGTCTCTGACACCGAGAGTTTCCCTGGAGCTCTGCCCATGTTCTTTGGCTAATCAATAAACGCTGGCTCCTTGCTCGCCACCGCTGGTGTCTGTGGGGCTCTTTTTCAGTCTTGAACAGAAGGTCTCAAGAGCCCTTTCCTGGCTTGGAAGCAGGGCCCATTCCTCTGACTCCCAGTGGGTGGATCGTGGACAGGGGCCGGTTTGCTCCCAGTTAATCCACCCGTGTTGTTGGAGGGTGGGGTTAGACTAGGGGACTGAGGGGCCCTGGTACCTCCCTTGTCTGGTGACAAGCCTGAGAGAACCCTCTCCAACCTGGACATGCCCAGGAAGATGTCCCCAGGAAGAGATGATTGAATGACTTTGTGACCGAATGCACATGTCTGGCAGAGGTGAGGAAGGGAATTCCAGTTGGAGGGAACAGACGGTGCAAGGTACAGAAATCTGAACCTCCCTGGTAAGGGCAGTCCAAAGTCGGAGTATTTGGTGTGAGGTGGGGGTTGTGGGGGTGGGGACAGAAGAAGGTCAGGAAGTCTTGAATGGGGCATATTTTAATAATTATAGGAAGGCAGTGAGACTCTGGGCCCTGGGAGAATTAAACCGGGTAAATCCGTATCAGAAGGTTTGATTATCCAGAAATATTTATGCAACCAGCCGTGTTTTGACAGTGAATCTTGCCAGGTTTTCCTGTCCTTGTTCCTTAAAGCTGTAGCAGGAGTCATGGGGCGCATACTAAGGGGGAGAGAAAGGCAGGGTCTCCCTCCCCCAGGTTAGAATTGAACATTAATAACCACCTCTCCAGGGAGACCAACCTCCCTGTGTTTTTGCTTTTGCTGATCTGGTTTTCATGCTCTGCAGAAGCTCTTCATGGAAAATGGTATTTTAAATCTTTTGGAAACATTTTAGTGAACAAATAAAAAGTTTTAGGTAAACAGTTTAGAAAAGATAAAGCCTACACGTGGACAGACACATTACTCTCATTCCTCAGCTCCTCTCCCTAGAAACAATCACTTTAAGGGCATCTCCTCAAAGTCCGTTGTGGGAGGAGGAAAAGAGGAGAGACTAGGGCTTCCCTGCAAGGAAGTCCTGGGTTGGGTTAACCCCGAAGAGAAGCTCCCCCATCACTGCCCTGGCAAGACTGGCTTCAGGGCAGAGGAAAGCGTAACAGCGGTGACAACTGTCAACTGAAGATGAGCCAACCACGCCCAAAGCCCCGGACTCTAGCTCCTCACCTAGTCCTAACCAGGAGCACTGGACTAGCGGGACGGAACCTGATTCCTAGCAACCAGGTAGTGCGAGTACAGAACTGGCTGTTTGCTTGAGAAACAATTTACAAGCTCAACATTTAACACTTACCCCTGAGTGTTGGGAGTAAAGTTTACTCAATATTCCCCTTGACTGAGCAGTAACATGGAAAGGAGGAACTTTTTTCATCAAAACAGAGACAATAGTGTTAGTTCAGTTAAGGCAGGGAGAGGTCTTTGGAAACAATGGGAACAGGATTCTAACGTCAGGGCCCTGCCCTGGCCACGAGGCAAGCTGTGCCAGCCTGGGAACTTGAGTCTGGGCCTTTTGGTGAGTGAAGGTCTTCACCTCCAGTTTAGAACACACCATTAAGATGACTAATGTTGGGGCCTCCCTGGTGGCACAAGGGGTTTAGACGAAACCTATGAAGCTATCCAAAGCCACTGCAGCATGAGTTCGATCCCCGGCCAGGGAGCTACCCACATGGTGCAGCAGACCTCTCCTATCTCGCCCGCTGCTCCCCTCAGCAGTGTATTTCAGTAGATCCACCTGTTCTGCTCCCCACACTCTCTGGTGAATCCTCTCACCCTCTGCACCTCTGGCCTGTACTATTTTCTATGCAAAAATAAATAAAATATTAAAAAAGTTTTTGTTTACAGCTCTGCCTATATAAACCGACTTTTCTGCCCACATTGGAGTATTTATACAGCCTTGCTCCAGGGGTGCTCATGGATTCCAGCCCCCTAAAGCCCTCAAATAAGTCTTTTAATAAAAATTTATTTTTATTTATGCATACAAGAACTGGGGTGCAGGCCAGAGGTAGGGGGGTGAGAGGATTCACCAGAGAGAGAGTGGAGAACAGGACAGGCAGAATGACTGAGACATACTGCTGAAGGGAGCAGCAGGCCAGCCAAAAGAGGTCTGCTCTGGCATGTGGGTAGCTTCCTGGCCAGCTGAGGATCGAACTCTGTGCTGTTCTATTGTTCGTACTGCAGAGGCTGCAGATGGCTTCATGGTGCTGTGCTTAACCCCTTGTGCCACCAGGGAGGCCCCCAAAAGTTTCTCTTTTAGAGAATTACTCAGGACACAGGGCCATGGTCCTAGTCTGCCTCCCTTCCTCCCAGGTCTTATTTCCCTTTGAATAAACTTGGCTCCAGTCTCTGTGAACATGAGGACGATGAGTTTATCCCTGGGAGACAGAGTTCACCCCTGACCCACAGGTTGAAGACTGGACCCCAGAACAGGCTGACTCAGCAGAACGACTGGCCCCGCCTGCCCCCCAGGCCCTGAGGGCAGCTGGACCTCCTCCTATGTCCACATCACTCAGCTCCATTTGCACTCTAGGGAGGAGACTCTGCACCTGCGACTTGACTAGTGGCGAGAAGACCTGGCAAGAGGCCAGGATGAGGCCAGAGAACTTGAGGACAGAGGAAGGGATGAGTTTAAGGGTGAGGTGACAGCCTGGGTGCCTGATTGAGCATGAAAAGGCCTGGTGACTTAGATGCCACAAAGGTTTCCTGTTGGTGACTGGGTGGGAGGTGAAACCTTTCACCAGGCCATAGGCTGACCATTGTGCAACCGATCCGAAAAAGGAGTCAAAGGAGGTGGAAACGGAAAATTATGCATTTAAAGGAGAAGTTAAATCACTCAGGTCAGAGAAAGAGAAGTAGAAAGTATCAGAGCCTCAAGGGGCCACAACACTCCCTTTGCTCCCCCTATCAGTCTTCAGTCTCTCCTTGTCCTTGATTGCTCTGTCCTCTGTCTTTCTCATTTTCACCTCAGGCCATGTTATAAATTAATCCAGCCATTGCTGACCCAAAGAGGTTTAACATTTTCCTCAGAGACAGCCAAGCAAGAGAGGAGGCAAAGGAGTTAGCAGAGGCCACGTTCTTTTCTCTGGGTCTCAGCAACTTGAGAAAAATGAGTTCCAGGCCCCCTCTCTTAACTCACTTTACTTGCCTCTCCCACCACCCTGTCTTTGTGTGTGTGTGTATTTTATTTTATTTATTTATTTTTTTAATAGAGGCATGTTTTTCTTTATTTGTTTGCTTGTTTGTTTGTTTTGTTTATACATGCACTGGGTACAGTCAGAAGCGCAGGAGGGTGAGAGAATTCACCAGAGCCAGAGCGGGGAGCAGAGCAGGCAGAAGGACCGAAGTACACTGCTGAGGGGAGCAGCGGGCGGCAGGAGAGGTCTGCGCGCCATGTGGGATCCTCCTCCAGTGGCCAGGGAGCAGCCGGGGATCGAACTGGCGCCGCAGAGGCCGCAGGCAGCTTCGCAACCCAGCGCTCTACCGCTGCGCCACCGGGGAGGCCCTGTGTGTGTATTTTAAAGATTTATTTATTTATGCATACAAGAACGGGGGTGCAGGCCAGAGGTGTGGGGGGTAAGAGGACTCACCAGAGACAGTGAGGAGCAGAACAGGCGGATTAACTGAAATACACTGCTGAGGGGAGAAGCAAGCGAGACAGGAGAGGTCTGCTGCACCATGTGGGTCAGCTCCCTGGCAGCGGATCGAACTCATCCTGCAGTGGCTGCGGATAGCTTCATAGTGCTGAGACTTAACCCCTTTGCACCATAAGGAAGGCCCCCACCACCCTTTCTTGAAAGACATGCCAGTTAAAGAAAACAAAAGTCAAGACCTGTTTGGGGCCATTTATTCTTTGTTTTGAATTGATAATATAGCCACATGGTTCAAAATTCAATATGTACAAAAGTCTATACAGTTTTAAGTTCCCTTCCCCCACCCCCCTAACATCCGTTTCCCCTCCCAAGGCAACCAGTGTTACCTGCCTCTTCTGAATATGCATAGATAAGCAAATCTGTATTATATTCCCCTCCTCTGGAAAACAAATGGGAAGGCACTAAACACTCTCTGACTTGCCTTTTTCATTGAGAGATTATCCCCTATGAGCTTAGAGACATCATTGTTTGCATAGCTCTACAGTATTGCACTGCAAGGCTGTATCAGAATTTATTTCCCCTCCAGGATGGGACATTTCTGCTGTGGCCATTCTCTTGCTATTTATAGCAACCCAGATCCCAGGAGGACAGCCTGGTGGGAGGCCCCACCTCTCAATTGCATGTCCCCATGTGATTGGATAGCCCTTGGCCAAAGACCAGAGTTCCTGGGTCCTCCTGCTTCTCATCTGGGGTCCACTCAGCCTCCCACATGGCTGCTGGGTGGTACAGAGGCCACTGGTCACACACAGCCCAGCACACAATGATGACTCCTTATTACCACTGCACCCACAAAACCACCTAAAATGTGAACTTGAGCTGCTGCTGTCTGGATGAGCATCTTCCCACAGAGAATTCAAGGCAAGTGTATAAAAGGGGCAGAGAGAACTGTGGGGGCACACATCTGCTCCAGCACCGGTTGAGGGCACCGCTTACTCCCAATATGTTGCAAACACAGAGGAACAGATGGGGCTGTCATCTCAGACTAAATGTCCTTTGCATTCTGGAGACTTCTACAAGCTTAGGACTGGGAGAAGAGAGAAAATTGAGAAAGGGGGGGCGAGGGGGTCATGGGGCAGAGGAGCATGCCTGGAGGACTGGAGGGGAAACCCAGGATCTGAGAACAGGTAGCAACAGGGGAGGAGGCAGTAGGTAAGGGGAAGGAGGAGGGGGAGCGGGAGGTTTGGGTGACAGTGAATGTGACCTCAGAGATGCAGGCCTGGTGGGAACCCTGACCTGGGGCTTCAGGGGAACTGTTCCCAGGACAGAGCCCCCAGCCACCTCTCCAGTGGGGAGGGCTTGGGGGAGCCCAGAAGAAATCTGGGGATGGCCTGGGGAGATTTGGAAAAGCGAGAGAGAGAGAGAGAGAGAGAGAGAGAGAGAGAGAGAGAGAGAGAGAGAGAGAGAGAGTCTGGCCATCATTCAGGCTTCCGGCTGGCCATTCCGTTCTGTGATGGGAACCCAGAACGTCAGTGATCTACAAAGTTGAGTCCCCCCTGTGTCTGGCATCACAGTCTTAGGATGCTGCCAGCAGGGAGAGGGATGTGAGGGAGGGGGATAAGGAGAGAGGACCCTGGAAAAGGGGGCGGAGGGAAACTGCAGGATGAGGGAAAAAAGAAGACCAGGTGGTCTGGCCCTGTGCCCCACTCCCCCACACCCTGGCCCTGGGGCCTCCGGCCACATTCCCACCCAGAGACAACCTAGTTGTGAGAGAAGCCCCGATGAGTGAAGGCAGGGAGGTCAGGCGCACAGGCCGCAGTGTCAGGGAGGCAAGCCAGGGGGTTGACCTCACAGGCCCCAGCATCCTGATCACCCTGGAAGTAGATGGAGTCAGTGGAATCCAAGGAGGGGTCCTGGTCAAAGAAGTTGTAGGGTCGCAGGAAGAAGCCCACACCGTTCCCCACGGTCACTGTGTTGGGAATGTCCTCTGAATGTGGAATGTGCAGGAAACCAGCGGTTACCCAGGCCACCAAGTCCTAGTGGGAGAGAAGGAAGGATCAGGAGGCCTGGCTTTGCTGAGGACTCACCTGCCTCCACAGTGGCCTCATGTGTCAAGGATTCACCTTGCCAGCCTGTCTTCCCCCCAAAAGATCTTAAGTCTAAACATTTTTCCTACTGGCCCAGAAGTCAAAGCATAAATGGTCATTTTCATATCGGGCGCAACACCTGTCGGCCTATCCCAGCCTGCACCTGCCACCTGTGACAGTTCCCATCACGTGGCCACCAGACTACCTGCCCTCGGAGGAATGACACCCACAGACTGCTTGACTCCTCTGCCCCTCATTCTCCAAGAGTTCCCAACTATAAGAGAAGAAGGAGAGGAGAGGGAAGACGAGGGCTCAGGAGGCAGAAAAGGCCACCTTTCAGAAGTTATCCATTTGTGGTGAAGCCGGGAATGGGAGAAATTTACAGAGATGGGACTTCCAGCCCTTCTTGAGTCCCCCACCAGCTGAGACCTGGAGATTCCCTCGAGAGGTAATGATGGAGCCATGAGAGAGAGATCTTATGGGTTCAGGGACCCCCTAAAATAGGGTGGGGCTCGTCTTTGCGCTCCTGCCACCCTTCCTCAGCCCCCCGCGCTGACCTCTCCAGCAATGGTCTCATTGTTGATGAAATCTGCGAAGTCCACGGTGGGCACCCAAGGGTCATTCTGATTGTAGATGCTGGTGCTGCTCGGCTCCTCCTCCTTCCGCTGGGTCACGGCCAGCTGGTACCTAGGGAGGGAGGCTCAGGCTTCTGGCTCCCCAGCCTGACCACCACCTGACTGGGAGGGAGGGAGCTGAGCACAGGGGCCTGAGCCCCTCCCTGTCATTCACATAGTGACCTGATGCCAACCTGCTGGGTCATCAGTGCCTTCTTGTGTCTTCCTGTTCACCCCCTGCCTTTTCATATTGTGGCTGCACCTCCCATGCAAAACAGGTAAGAGCCCTCACCTCTGGGGTTAGCCCCCCATGAGGAATGTGTGCCCAAAGTGGTGACTTTGATAGCCAGGAAATCCTCCTGCAGCTCTCACCTCATCTTTATTTGAGTTCCCAATTGCCTGGCCAAAGCTCCCTTCTCATACTCACCTCCCTCAGCCTCTCTGGACACTGTGACACTCACCTCCCCCAGCTGAAGGCTCTCTCCATGGAGCTGTTGTGGGGCAGTGGCTCCCCAGCAAAGCTGAACACCTGGATGCGGTAGCCCCGTGGGTGACCCCACTTGTTGCTGTGGTTGCTGGCCAGGTATAAGTATCGAGGGGTGGCACCTCCCAAGGGGAAGGCAGCCTGCTCCTCTGTCACCAGCAGCTTCCGGGTCACCTCCAGCTTCTGCATCTGGTGCTGAGGGCTCCACGGTACCGCCATGGGGACGAAGGCCATGTCCTCAGCCCAGACCCAGTTCTCCAGTCCTGTAGGGGGTGGTAGGGATGCAGGGGGTGGGGGGCACTGGTCATACAGCTGCTCTGTCTCCTCTGCACTCTGCCCCCACAACTTCAGAGAGGTGGGGGGCAAAGAAAAGCTCAGACCTGAGTGTGCCCATGTTTTTCCTCTCCTCAGGGAATTCCAACTCTTTCATTCAAAGCTATTAAAATATTTCTTCAAGGACTTAACTCATTCATCCATCATACTCCTTAGTGGAGAGCCCCATGCCCAGCCCTGGGAACACAGAGATGAATGAAGCGTCATCCTTAACCTCCTGCTTTCACAGAGGACCCAGAGAGGCAAAGCCAGGATGGGTCCGCAATGTGGGGAGCACGATCAAGGCTCAAGGTTATAGGAATACAAACACAGGCAGGAGGGGCCTCCCTGGTGGCGCAGGGGTTAAGTCTCAGCTCTGTCAAGCTATCACCAGCCACTGCAGCTTGAGTTCAATGCCTGGCCAGAGAGCTGAACCACATGGTGCAGCAGACCTCTCCTGACTCACCCGCTGCTCCCCTCAGCAGTGTATTTCAGTCCATCTGCCTGGTCTGCTCCCCACTCTGTCCCTGGTGATCCCCTCACCCCCTGCATCTCTGTCCTACACCCCAGTTCTTGTATGCATAAATGAAAAAATAAATCTTTAAAAAAAATACAGGCAGGAAAAGGTGGTTTTTTTTTTTTTTTTTTTTTTTGAAGATTTATTTATTTATTTATACAAGCACTGGGTACAGTCAGAAGCGCGGGAGGGTGAGAGAATTCACCAGAGCCAGAGCGGGGAGCAGAGCAGGCAGAAGGACCAAAGTACACTGCTGAGGGGAGCAGCGGGCATGGCAGAAGAGGTCTGTCGTGCCATGTGGGACCCTCGCCAGTGGCCCGGTACTGCAGAGGCTGTGGGCAGCTTCGCAGCCCAGCCCAGCGCTCAACTGCTGCGCCACCAGGGGAGGCCCAGGAAAAGGGGGTTTTCTGGGGCAACTTTTCAGCCTGGCCTTAGAGGATGTCACTAGCAGAGATGACATGGCAGGGCATTCTAGGCAGGGAAAACATGAGTAAAACCAACAAAGCCAACTGTGACACGTGGTGTATGCCCAAAGCTCAGGCAGGCACGGGCATGGCAAAACAGCCAGGGCATGTCTGAAAGGCGGGGTGGTTCTGTGCCTGGGTTCCTCCAGGTTATGGACACAGTGGGGACCATGGGTCCCTCTGGACTCAGAGTGGATGCTGGATCTGAGAGGAAGAAGAGTGGAAGGAGTAGACAGAAAGTTGGCACCAACAGGGGGATAGCAAAAGCCCAGTGAGAAGTTTGAGATATTCAGAGGCAAATAAAAAAAAATCTGGTGATGAACTCAATGTAGGGAAGGAGAGTGAAAAGACAAATATCCTGACTCCTCATGTAGCCTTTGTTTTCTCTGTGACCACCAACTCCAGGAACTATCAGGAACTTTCCAGAGTATTCATTCTACTCCCTCATGCCTAAGTGTATTGCCCAGAGAGCAATGGAAAATTAGGGAAGAGGAGGATTCATCTCCAAGGAAATGTATAACCTGGGTGTTCCTCGACTGGCCTCCATAGGCCAGGGACTTAGAAGATTGGACACAAATCCTCTAAAACACCAGCTCCATGGCTCAGATGCAGAGAAATGAACTGAAAAGCAAATGGCTGCCTCCCTGAGTAGAGCCCATGTAAGTTCAAAAGAGGGAAGAGACCAGATCCTGCCTCCACCCCGAATTTTGCCATTTCCCAAGATTTTCTGATGAGGTCACATGGAGGGGAGGTAGCAGCTGTCCACCCAGAGAATGAACTAAGACCCAAATAAAAATCAGCAGTCAACTCTTTCCCATCCAACCAAAGAAGTATGAAACTCCAAAATCCTATACTCATGATCAAATCTTCCTTTTCTGGACAATCTCCATGAAATTCAAAGCAAACAGAGACATCTCTTTAGCTTCCTCTTCCAGAATCCTTGCCCCCACCAGGATGTCTTACCTCCTACATCCAGATCCACCTTGAAGTGGGCACTGTGGGTGTGGACGGTGCCCAGTGTGTGCTCCCCAACTTGGTTCCCATATCTTCGGGCAGCACCAAAGAGGAACGCTGAGCTGATGTAGCCTGTGGCGTGGACTTTGACTTCTATGGCCCCATTGGGGTAGAAGAGCACATCCCACAGGTAGTCATAATTGAGCAAGGTAGACACAGATCTGACCACCAGCACTGTCTCCACAAGGCCCCCAAAATAGTGGGAGTAGAACTCGGAGTGGTGCCTCCTCAGGGGGAGGCCCTGGTTCTGTTCAAACACACAAAAGGCATCATGAATTGTCTTGGGAACTTGGGACTCCAACAGGAAGTGCCAGTCCACGTAGGTGGCCAGGTAGGGGCAGTCCACCCCACGGGTCAGGGATGTGGAGTACTTGCCCATGCCAAAGCTACCATCGAGATAGCGGGTCAGCATTGCTGCAGGGGTATTTCCACCATAGACGGTCAAGACCTCCTGGAGACTGATCTCATAAGCTAGCCGTTCTCCCCGGAAGCGGATGTCAAAGATCCTTGGGCCACTAAAAGCTCTGAGGCCAAAGAAGAAAGTCCACAGTGAGGAGGCCACTTGACTCCCCTGGACACTGAAGCGGGGGCCCTGGGGATGAAACTGCAGAGGGGGAGCCCGACCCCGTGGCACCTGGGACTTCAGGGACCAGGACCCACCTGTGCCATTGTCTGGGATCAGCACCACGTTCACCAGGCCGGCCTCAAACTGGTCCTCCAGCTGGGCCAGGCTCTCATAGTAGCGGCCTTGAAAGAACACCTTCTGGATGGTCCAGTGGGCAGGGTCCAGAGCCTTGTGGTCCACCAGCAGCTCCAGCCCCACGGGGTGCAGGAAAATCCCAGACCCTGAGATATTGTAATAGAGGCCAAACCAGGTGGCCCGGTCCCCCGACTGCAAGCCCCGGGGGGCCGTGGTCATGGTGACCAGGTTGTGTCCTTGGCGCTTATAGAAGCAGCAGTGGTGGAGGAGGCCAGCGGCCTGGGGCAGCTGCCTGTGGAAGATCATATGGTCTATGTCCAGGTACTCTCGGAGCAGCACAGGGCGGCGGTGGTAGGGCAGGGGGCCCCCGTGACGCTCCACAGTCACATCCCGCAGGTAGGAGGGGCGTGGCAGCGGCCCCACCACCAGCTCGCTCACATTGGGCTGGGCTTGTCTGCCAAAGAAGACGATGGCCAGCGCCTCCCGGGCAGGTGGGGGGCTCCCTCCGTCCAGGTGGGCCAGGGCTGCGGCCTTGGGGGGCAGCTGCAGCTCCACAGAGAAGATGCAGTTGTCAGAGGGCTGGGCCTGGGTGGCATCCACCAGGCCTGGCCCCAGCTGCTGGGTCAGAAAGCGCATCACAGCCGTCAGCTCCTCTGGGCTCAGGTCTGCAAAGAGCTGGCTCTGGCCAGGGTGTGTCCAAGGCTGGGCGCTGGGAGTTATAGAGGGGCAGTGGAGAGGCTGGCTGGATTCACCCCCATCTCCTCCCCTGCCGGCTAACAAGACACACACCAAGGCAAAGATGGTGATGACAGCCAGAGCGAGGAGCACCAGAGTGGTCTTCTGGTTCATAGTGGCGTGAGCGGAGAAACAGCTCTGAACCAGTGTGAAGTGTAGTCTTAGGTTAGCAGGGCTGGGTCTCACTTGGCTCCTAGAGTGGGGGCTCCTGGATTCTGCTTGAGATTGCTGGTAACCGGAGGCACAGGAGACTGAGGGTGGGAAGGACACAGGAAGCTGGGGAGGGGGTGGGGCAGCGGGGTTAGGGGGCGGGCTTGAAGCAGGGTAGTAGCAATTTCCACAGACCTTACATGGCTCTGTCCTCCAGGCTCCAAATCAGACTCTGTTCTCTGGGTCAGCGTTGGAATTGGCAAGAGTTTGGTAGGGGGAAGGTGGGGCTTAGGAGTGGGGGTATTAAGACAAGGCGGCCAGCCAGCCTGAGCACAGAAATGCACCACCAGCAAGGAGCCCTGTCTGCCAGAGCAGTTGCTAATCCCCCCCCACCTCAAGCCCCACTTCTTCCCAGGGCCACTAGGTCCCTTTCCTGTAACTTGGAACTATTGTTTTCCTTCCAAGGAAACCCCCACTCCGCCCTTCAGCTTCCCAGGCAGCATTCCTTGGCCAGGTCTGTCCCGTTGCCCTTGCCTCCATTACAAATTTTCTTGGCCAGAGTCCTTAATATTCTCTGGAGAACTCTAGATACTTAAAAAGTCAAACAGAAGAAATTCAAGAAAACATCTTGTAATTTTTTTATTATACATAGCACCTACTTCTTACATAGCACCTATCTTTATTATACATAGCACCTACTTTTTACAAAATTCTCTTCTTACACTTAAATGCACATGCATAAATGTCTGCTAGGATGTCCACCAGATGTGAACAGTAGTTCTTTCTGTGTGGTGGGATTTGTGGTGGTTTTACTTGTATCTGTATCTTCTATAAATTCAGCATTTTAAAAAGACAAATTGGAATCAGAATCAACGGAAGGATGTAGGGGGATCTGGTGTGGTGGAGACTGTTTTCTAGGAAACAGTAAGAGGATGAAGTCAGAGGGGGAGCAGAAAGTGGGAACAGAGGGGAAGGTACATGTCTCAGCTCCCCATGCCCACCGTGTGCCCCACACCCTTGGGTTAAAAGCCTCGGTAAGAGAAAGGCGGCAGGTCTGGGACACAGGCTGCTACCTGGGGAATGCAGGCCACAGGGTTGACACTGCAGAGCCCAGCATCCTGACCCTTCTCAATGAAGACGCTGCCAGGGGAGTAGATGGAGGGGTCCTCATCAAAGAAGTTATAAGGTTGGAGCAAGAAGCCAACTCTGTTCCCCACAGTCACCGTGTTGGGGATATCCTCAGCATGAGGGATGTGCAGGAAGCTGGCTGTAACCCAAGCCACCAGGTCCTGGAGGAAGAGGGAGGGCCTGGAGGGTTCTGGAGGCAAGACCCTGAGCACCACCCCTCAGCCACGCCCCTAACATTCAGCCTCACTTCCACCCCACCACCAACCTCCAACCACACTTCCACCTCCGCCCAGTCCATGAGTTTAGGGTGGAGAGTCACCCAAGGCTAATCTCACTCTGGCAGGGGTGAGCCATGGGGGTCATCAGATAACTCCGTGACCCCTGAATCTGAGAATTGGAAACTGTTCCCTACAACCTATGGTCAGATGTTGGGCAGCCAAGATGTCAGGCACAGTGGAGCCCCTCTCCTCCACCCCACCCACCCCATGCTACCAACCTCTCCTAAGAGGGTTTCATTGTTGATGAAGTCAGCAAAGGCCACAGTGGATGCCCAGATGTCATTCTGGTAATAGATGCTGCTGCTCTGTGGCTCTTTCTCCTTCCTCTGGGTCACCACAAGCTGGTATCTGACCAGGAATGTTGTGTCAGAAAATGTCAAGGAACTTTACTGGCCCAGTGTCCTTTGGATAAGATTATATGTAAGACAACTCCCCAGCCCATATCTATTTGCTCTAAGAGGAGAGATACGGAGATGACTGGTAAGCCAGGGGTAGTGAGTTGGGGTCTCCTAGAGCTGGGGAAGGGGGCGAGTCGTTCCCCACCACCCAGCACCCAGGGCCCTCCTCACCTCCCCCAGCTGAGGGCCTTCTCCATGTCGCTCTCCAGAGGCATGTGCAAGCCACGGGGGCTGTGGACCTGGATTCGGTATCCGCGCTGGTGACCCCAGGCATTAGTCTGGTTGCTAGCCAGGTAAAGGTAGCGGGGAAGGGGGCTTCCCAAAGAAAAAGTCGCCAGGTCCTCCCTTCCTAGGACCTGTCGAGTCAGTTGTGGGCGCTGCAGTTGGTATTCCGGGCTCCAAGGGGCTGCTACAGGCTTAAACACCACGTCTTCAGCTACCACCCAGTTTTTCAACCCTGCCAGGGGAAGGGGGAGGGGTTCCACAGCAGGTGAGACAGGACCCTGGATACCCCCATGATGCTTACTACCCTGGCCTGACAAAAGGCAGTAGATCACTGTGCTGGGAGTGAGGTCTGGATTGGTCAGCCCCTCTTCTCTAACCTGCCCTACTCCAGCAGTCACCAGCCACAAGTGGCTATTCCATTACCTAAAAAACCCAGTTCCTCGGTCATAGTAGTGACATCTCAAGTGCTCAGTAGCCACTAGTCCCTAGTGACTGATGCAAACAGAACATTTCTGTCGCTGCCGAAGGTTCCGTGGTCCTTGGGCCAATTCGTTACATCACACTTTCTGAATCTCTACACAGGGGCATGAGTTGTTCTTTGGCTGAGCTCTGAGAGAGAAGCACATGCAGGGGACTATTGACATTCTTGAAATAGGAAAGGGGTACTTGTTGGAGTGACATTGGCTGCAAAGCCCCAATCCTCTCCTGCAGTGCCCTGTACACTCCCCCCAGCTCTGAGATCGCTCTCTCAACAAAGGGGGATCCACTCTCACTTTTTCTAGAAGTAGATTTGTATCTCTCAGTTGTCTGGGAGCTCCCTAGAACAGCTACATTCATAACCTGCCACCCCACTTGGCACTTGGTCATGTTTTCCTTCTGCAGTTGTTAGTTCCATTGCATGTGACCTAGTGAAGGCAACTGGCACAGCCTTTGGCACACAGCACCAACCTGTGCTATACACTCTAGGGACTCAAGAAATGTTACTTGATTTTACTTGCCAAGATGACGCTCAATGCTAAAAATGCTTGAGAAACTTCAACTCCTAAAGACATATACCAAATATATAAAATAATCTACTAGTTAACAAGCTCACTCTAATCATGTTTTTCTTAGTCTTCCCTCCCCTCGACCCCTGCTGTGCACCCACGTCTTTATATAGAAGAAAATGTCTCACACTGAGCTGAGTTACAGTGCAGTTACTTCCTGTCCCACCTCGCCTCACCTTAGTTTCCCTGTGAGAGGGTCTAAAATTTCTAATTTCTTTCGACTCAAAGAGTCTGTGACTCGACAAGAATCTGTCAGGAATAAGTCCTCTGTGCCTTGAACCCAGTTTGAGAAATCCTTCCCTACACTTGGCAGCTCGAGAGTCCACTGTGATGAAATGTGCTGGGGGAATGGGGTGCCCCCACTCCTGCACCAAGGATGGGGTCACTGATCTGTATTCCTAGGTGTCTGAAACCCCATGGAGACCTTCCAGCCAGGACTCCCCATGTCAGGCCCTAGGACCACATCTACCCGCCAAACCTCTGTTGGCTACTTTCCCCCCAACTCCACTGACCCTCAGAATTAGGAAGAGCCCCAACTTCGGCCTCAGGCAGCCTCAGTCAGCAAACTGCCCCACCCATGGACTCACATCAGGCCAAGGCAGTCAGACAAGGCAGTTACATTTAAACTAATTTCTTAAGAGCAGCAAGTCAGAGGGGTTGTGTGGGGAACTCTCTTTCACCAGATAGCAAGAAGCCCAGTATTTGAGGCCAATTACTATTGATACACTAATCAGTAAATTGGAGTGATGACACCCTCTTGCCCCTTCCACAAAGCACTGGCTTGATTTGGGGGGCTCTCCCTTCCCTCTGTCCCACCCCAACTCTCAATTCACATCCCACACTCACCTGCCACATCCAGGTCCAGCTTGAAGTGGAAGGCATGTGTGTGCACAGCCCCCAGCACTCGGTCACCCACACGGTTCCCAAAGAGAAGGCTTTCTTCTCCCTCACTCAGGAAAGCGGTGTTGACATAGCCTGTGGCATGAACCCGCCCTTCCAGCGCCCCATTTGGATAGAACACGAAGTCCCAAATGTAGTCATAGTTGCCCACAGATGATATGGACCTGACTACCAGGGCGGAGCTGGCCAAACCACCATAGAAATAACTCTGGAGGTGATTGTAATGCCTTCGAAAGGGCAGTCCCTGGGCCTCCTCAAACACACACACAGCTCCTGGCAGCAGCTGGACCGCCCCTTTGCCCACTAATACATGGATGTCTACCATTGTAGACTGGTAGGGGCAGTCCACTCCCCGCACCAAGCTCTGGCTATGTCTTCCAAGTCCAAAGCTGCTATCCAAGTAGCGAATCATCATTGTCTTGGGTGAATCGGCACCATAGACAGATAAACACTCCTGCACACTGATTTCATAGGCCACTCGCTCACCCTTGAAGCGAATATCAAAAATCCTCATGCCACTGAACACCCCGTGGCCAAAGGTAAATGTCCAGAGGGAGGATGCCACCAAGTTTCCTTGTACACTGTATTGAGCGCCCTGGGGTGAGAACTGAAGAGGAAGAGGACCAGGGGGGACACGGGACCTCAGGGAAGAAGCCCCATTTGGCGTGGGTAGAGGGACTTTGGCCACTTCCAGCCGACCAGCCTTAAACTCCCATTCCAGCTGGCCCAAGTCTGCATAGTAGCGGCCAAGGTAGAAGACCTGCTGGACAGACCATTGGGCAGGATCCAGGGCCCTGTGGTCCAGCAGTAGCTCCAGCCCCACCGGGTGAAGGAAAAAACCAACACCTGAAATGTTATGGTTGAGGGCTATCCAGGTAGCTCGGTCGCCTGAGCGTAAGCCACGAGGGTTGGCATGCGTAGGGACCAAAGTGGAACCGTTGTAGTTGAAGACAGAAGCCAGGAAGACTGGGGCCTTGGGTAGCTCCACCTCTTTCAAATGCTTCCACATGTGGAAATGCTCAGATGGCAGCAGAGGACGGCGGTGGTAAGGCAGGGGGCCCCCGTGACGCTCCACAGTCACATCCCGCAGGTAGGAGGGGCGTGGCAGCGGCCCCACCACCAGCTCGCTCACATTGGGCTGGGCTTGTCTGCCAAAGAAGACGATGGCCAGCGCCTCCCGGGCAGGTGGGGGGCTCCCCCCGTCCAGGTGGGCCAGGGCTGCGGCCTTGGGGGGCAGCTGCAGCTCCACGGAGAAGATGCAGTTGTCAGAGGGCTGGGCCTGGGCGGCATCCACCAGGCCTGGCCCCAGCTGCTGGGTCAGAAAGCGCATCACAGCCGTCAGCTCCTCTGGGCTCAGGTCTGCAAAGAGCTGGCCCTGGCCAGGGTGTGCCCAGGGCTGGGCGCCGTGGGATACGGAGGGGCAGTGGGGAGGCTGGCTGGAGCCTCGACTCGTCAGCAAGACATAGGCCAGGGCAAAGATGGTAATGAGGGACAGTGCCAGGAACACGAGGAGTACCTTGAGATTCATGGTGGATGCTGAGCTGAAATGAGAGTCCTATCAGATGCTTCTTCTAGTTACTGACAGCAAATCAGGCTTTATATTCAGTAGGATGGTTAGGGATGGAGAAAACTCCACCCTGTGGGCTGGACAGGAAATTTCTAACCTTGATTTATATAATTCTGTTCCAATTTTCTGTTCTGTGGTTTGGCTCAAGGCACTTCTTCCAGACGCAAAGTCTGTCCCCTGTCCCTGAACTCCCTCCTACCAGCAGCAAGGTCAGTACTAACTACCGATTTCCATCACTTAGACTGGATCAGAGGGCATCTGGATTACCTCTGCACTCAACCTTCCACCCTGAAGGTGGACAGGTCTGAGGAATATAAATCTCAGGTGCCCAGTCTAGTCCCATGTGCTACATGCAGGCAGCAGTAACTGTCTCCTGGCAGGCACTGTACCTGGTATTTCTAGTCTCCACGGCCCAGTTCAGCAGCACTGTTTGGCCAGCTGCCTAGTGCCAGGTCCTGGATCTATAGTCTCAGGGCTCCTCTATCAGTGGAAAAAGAGGAGTGGTGAGGGCCTCGGTTTAGCAGTCAGATTTGTACCCCGACCCCAGGTTCCTAAGCCCTGTGACCTAAGGAGAGCTACTGATACTGTCTGTGCTTCACCTACGAAGGGACAGAGCTACCCTATGTAGTCATGACAGCTGAACACGATGCTGCACGTAAAGTGCTTCATGGAACCTGACACCAGCAGGTATTCAAAGATTGTTAGCTACTGGTAGCAATCTCTGAAACATAACAGAGCAGATGTGCCTCCATTGTTTAAGACCTAAAATCTCTATTTGCAGAGACAATGAGGGGATTGTTGGATACCAGAAGGCTACTTTACAAGATGGAGTTGAGGAAACTTTTATTTCAGAGGGAGCAAGGGTCCTAACCAGCCCTCCAAGTCATTTGAAAACCAAAAGCACAGGTTTCTGGCATCTCCTATGAAATTTAAGACATCGTAAGAGGGGAGAATTAGTAGCAGGTAAAGAGACAACAGGATAGCATGTTCCTTGAACCAAGTCATCCCAGGTTCACAGAACTAGAGCAGCCTCTACTGGCAGTTGGTGGATATCACAGGGGAAGGAAGGAAGAAAGGAAGGAAGGAACCAGGATCTTGTGCAGATAGGGACAGAAGGCAGTTTAGGTTTCGGAAGAGCTAACTTACATGATTCACACTGAACACAAATGATGGGCCAAGCCTTGCCTCATGGTAGGCAGAAGCCTCAGTCATTCCATTATCCCAAAGAAAAGCAGCCGCTCAACTGGTAACAAAGACACCCAATAGGGTGGCTAAAGTACATGTATGTGGAGATGGGTGTTCCCATGTGAACACACAAGTAATTATGTCCCCTAGCCACCACAGCATTGCACCAGGGTCTGCAGCTTTAGAAATAAGTCAAAGTACCTGTATTTTTAATAATTTCTTGACATGGTAAAAGAATTTTACATTATGATCCAACAAGGCTGGTAGGGTGAGGAGGGGCAGTGACCGATCCAACAAACAAAAAGAGAAACTGAGAAACATGGTAGGCGAGGGGAGGGCTTTAGCTGGAAGGGATTGGGGGGTGGAAGGGGCATTGTCCAACTAAAATGCAATGGGTTTGTTATTCAGTACTACTCATAAAAAGACAGCATCTGGACTCCTCCTATACACGGCATACTGGGAGTAGAAGGATGCACCTAGGGGGAAATGTGATTGGAGGTTGGAAGACAGAGATGGGGAGGATAAGTCAGAAAGACACACCAGGAGTCTCCCACAGGCAGACTGCAGATGATGACTCTCTAGCAGTGACAGAAGAAAATAGGAGGGACTGACAAGTGAGAACAGAAGCTGTTAACAATAAGCTCTGGAATCTCTGAAATATAGGCAACTCTTCTATGGTTTGGACTTGCCTGGCAGATTTACTTACATATGTATACACACACACACACACACACACACACACACACACACACAGGGTATAAGCATGTGTGCATGCACACACACACACAAATGCTTTCCCTGGAAGCTCAATACTATAAATAAGAGAAATATTTTCCCAAAGGGAAAGCCTAGCAGGAGCAGCAGCGTCTGGCCCTCACAGGTGCAGACACCCCCACACCAAATTACAACTGGCCTGGGAAGAGGCAACCAGGAGTCAGAGGACAAGCCTTTGCAGTAATGCCCAAATGGACCCCAGTCACAGAGAAGGGGCCTTGCACTCTCCCTATGCTTCTCATCACTTTCCCCTGAAGTTCATCCTGGGCACCAAAAGGCCACAACATCAGAGACGTTGGGCCCCTGCAGATGACAACTAAGACAGCCATCACCTGAAAGGTGTGAGACAGGATTCCAAAGGGGAGGTGGGAAAGGAAGTGTCATGTAACAAAGCAGGAAGGCATGTGTGCGTGTGCCTGGTCTCTGTGTGTGTGTGTGCGCGCATGCGCAAGTACATATGTGCAGGTGAGAATCCTAGTTATAAAAACATCTGAAGGAGCTAAGGACTTGGCTGAAAGTCTAAGGTGTTTGTTGTCATGATCAGATTCAAGGTAGGATGCATAGTCATCACCAGGGCAACTGTGGTAGGGAGGAGCAATGTTCCACAGAAGCAGAGATGCTAACCCTACGTTAGGAAGAGAGGAGCTGCTCCCCGAGCCAAGTTCCTAAAGAACAACTAGGACTTTCCTTCTAGTTCCCTCAGCTTCTAACCACCTAATCATCAAAAGGGGGAAAAAAAACCACAAAGCCAGAGACACAGGAGGAGATGAGGAGGAGAGAGAAACGCAAGTATTCTTGTGCCAGTATCTTGCACACACAAACCTGGAGTTCTCCAGAAATTAGGACAGGTCAGGTGTGGGGTATTAGGGGAGGAAATAGAAGAGTTCCTGAGGCCTGAAAAAAGAGGTAAACACGTCACAGAACTACATGAGAGTTTCATTAGACTCTAACTAAAAACAGAGAGAGGTGTGATTACTATTTCCAGCCAGTTTCCCCATCACGATAGTTGTGTAACAAACCAAGGCAATGTCGGTCTTGAGCCAGACTCACAGAGTCCCCTGGCCCTGGCCCTGGCCTCAGTACAGTGTCTCTGCATTGCTGCTCCGGGGCCGTTTGATCTTCTCGATGTTTTTCAGGATCATGTCATGTAGAGTGACCTGGGAGAAAAGGGATCAGGGAATCATATACCTTATCTACCCCTACTTCAAAGCAAAAGGCGACAACTCTCCTCCCTGCCCCCCAACCCCCCAATAAATCCCCAATTGATCATTTGCATAATCCCGAATCACTACCTTACCTTTCTTATACCCCCAAACCGAGCAGACCTGGGTATTTCCAAGGCCCCAAGTGTCTAATAACTAACATCTTGAGCACTTCACATGTCAAGAATTACAAAATTCTTTAATGTGTTAGCTCGCTCATTAAAAAAATTGTCATTTACAATAGGTACACTATGTCCCATCTTTAGAGATGAAGAAACTGAAGTTTGCAGTCAGACAATTTGCCAAGGCTGCACACTCCGGGTAGAGTTGGTTCCAAACCTAAGTCTGTTCACTCTAACACCAGTATCTTTACCACTATGCTAGACAGCATTTCCTCCAGGCAGAAAAGCGACACCCAGCTAGATACCTTCAGTGATTTCATAGTTCTCAATACTCCGTTGAAAAGAAGTTGTTCTATACTCATTTTACCCTCAATCTCAATCCCCAGAAAGTGACAAGAAAATTATCAACAGAACTAAGAAAAGCAAGGCAACTGTGGGCAGGGACGGACTTACATATTGATTCCTTAGCTCTGAAATGATGAGCCGCAGGCTGATATATTCTTTCTCATCAATCTCTGTGACGGTGCGGCGGTAGTCCTCCTGAAGGGGTGGCAGAGAAACACTAGTTCCCAAGACCTGACTGGCAGACAGCTCTTTCCTAAGAAACAGTCACTCCTCCTTATCCTACTACTTCCACCCTCAGGCCAAAAAACCCTTACTTACCACATGGGGATATTTAGCTATTTTAGAAACCAATTTGGCTCTTGTAATGTAATATCTGGAAAGAGAGAGAAGAGGAGGAAGTTGCAGGACCCTGGACGATGCTTACCATCTCAACACCCCCAATTCCTGGGGTCAAACCCAAGCAGCCCTACCTAGAAATCTGGTCCAGATAAGAGGCAGCTTCACTCTCAACTGTTCTTAGTTCTGCAACGGTCTCCTCCTGAGAAAAACAAATGAGACCAAAGCTACTTAACTCCACCCCACAGCAGCCCAAGAAAAAGGGTAAATAGACAAAGCAAGGGAAATGAGAATCTCTCAAACCTTGCTTTCTAGTTTTTAATGCAAGCACTTTACCTGAATGGACACTCCAAAGTTGTTCCCATCTTCTATCCTAGGAATCAGGAGCTGTACCCACATTTTGACCTGGGGGTAGGGGCACCAAAACATGTATGAACAAGGACCTTGACCTCTTCTGCTAAAGCCATGAAATATATGATTCATGCCACTAAAGCAAATGCTAGCACAGGAGTCAGGATACTTAGTTTGTTACTGTCCCCCACACCCCCAATCACATCCAATCCTCCAGCCCCACATTTATCAATTTGCATTGTACAATCCAAACTATCTGGGGTTAGCACAATCATTAGTGTTTGTCTCACCGTGTTGCATTTCTCAATCAGCAGCCGTATCTCAGGTTTCACTTTCTCAATAATATCCACCAGCTGCTGGTTGCTTTTTAGCATCCCATTGGGCATCACAAACACCTTGGTTCCTGGCAGGGGTGTGAAAGTCAAATGATTGGGGTGGGGAAATGACACAGTATTCCCTACTACCCCTCTTCTTCCCCGGACCCATGAGATACCTTGACCTTCTATCTTTTAGCTGTCACAACCCTATCTACAAACCAAGACACCACCATCAGAATCAGAGAGAGAATGTGTGGATTAACAAGAATATCTAAAGTATCCAAAACAGGGAAAGTAAAACATGCCCTAAAGACTCAATGTACCAAGGACTATTAATGAAGAGGAAAAAAACATGGAAAAAAGTCTGTGATACCTCTACCTCCAACCTCTCTCCTTTGGAAGTCCAAATGAAGTCAAACCCTCCCTGCTTATTGGAAAATTAGGTCTCGAGTGCTAAATAGTGACCATGTTTGGAGGACCTGGGAACGCTAACTCTGGGAAATAAAGTCAGATCCTGCTTCCTGGCCAAAACACCAGGATCCACCCTGCTTCTTAGGGCTGCAAGTTAGGAGGTGGGTGGGGTGGGGTAGGGGTGGTGGCTTTTACCTTGGAAGGCCTCTTCACACTCATCCAATCTTCGCTTCTTGTAAGTAGGCTAAGGAGACAAAGAGACAGGAAATTACTCTGCTCTGACACCCACATTCTTATCACAGAATACCCTTTCAAGCAAATTTCATCCCTTCCTTGACCGCATAATCTGTCTTAATAATCTATGCACCATTTACTAAGCACATATGAGATTTTAAGAAAAGGTTCTAAGGGGTGGGGGAAAAGATACTATAAATAGGAAAAATGAACCAATCAGTACAGGGGTGAGGATAATTAAGGGAATATATACAAATCTTCTTTCATAAAGAACACAATACTCAGCTAACCAATATGTACTTAGCACCTGCCATGTAACAGGAACTATGGCAGATGCTAGGGATACAAACATGATTAAGACAGAACTTATACTTCTGGAAGGCAGAAACTACCAACAAGACAGTAATGCAAAGACCGACACAGTGTCATCTGTGTTAAAATTAAATATGGACAAATGACTAAAAAGGACGAGTTGTTAAAGATGGACAACAAAGACAAAGGCTCTAGTTATATAAGCAAGAACTATTCACCCTATAACCAGACTCAAAAAACAGTGAAACAGGGAAGAGAAGTCTTGCTTAGCACCTGGGAGACAGAGCAGGTAACCAGAGGGAACCTGTAGCTATTAGTCCTATTTGAAACACCTCCTAACAGAGGGTAGCATTAACATTGCCACCTCATGCTCTATATGAAAAGCAGGGTCCAAAGCGGGCTTACTGAAGTCACCATGCCATGAGAGTCCTTGTTCCCAATTCAAATACCAGTGGTCACCGCTGCACATATTCAAACTGACCAAGAAATAAGATGACACAGAACCTATTGCTTCTTGAGTACCACACAAAGATAAATACAGAACTTACACCATCCAGTCCATCATGGCTATTGGTGAGAAGAATGGGGTCTGGGACCGGGAGATTCATGTCTGAGTGGATCTGAGTTAAGTCATGGATGTTTAGAATTGGTTCCTGAAAGAGAGATGCCCAACCCCCACAACATTAGTCTTTTCAAGATGACCAAAGAAGTATTCCACTTGAAGGGCAAGAATGAGAGTGTTTTTTAGTAAAAAGCAAAATCGACACATAATTTGTCCCAAAAGACAGACCAGGGCCAAAAATATTGGCAAATCTGAGAAGAGTCTCTTACCTTCAAAAAACTATCAAGTTCTAACAACTTCTTTGGGAAAAAATTTGCCACCAAGTCTTCTGCCTAAAGATGAGGGGAAACAGAGCTGGATTAATAAATATGGGAAGGTCTCTCACACACAGGTATCTCTTCTTTGGGAAACTCCCAACTGGTAACCAATACATTTTCCTATTTATTTTACTCACCTCACTTGTGATCCGCTCCCTGAAAGAATCAACCTAAAATTAACAAAGAAACCAATTCAGTGCCTGGCAACAGAGGTAAAGGGAAGGGTGGGGAAACTCATTCCAGCTGTCTTTCCCTCACCTTGTAATTGTAATGAGAAGCTGAGAGGCCCCCAGACTGCAGATACTTTACTTTTTTGATGATCCATTTCTCCATCTCAGGAGAGGGAAGTAGGGCTTAAGGGCAGCACCTGCCGGTTTTCCCTTCTTTCTTACTTCTTTCCCTCCCCTGCCACCCTCCCTCCCCGTATCTGAAGCTGTCTGAATTTAAGAGCGGACTGAAGACAGGTCGATAGTGAGGTATGAGCTCACAAACGCGCCAACCCCTGATGATCTAGGCCTATGATATAAGCAGGCCTAGCGCCATGGGCAGGGGCAGAAGCAGAGACCAGAGGCGAGAACGCTGCTGGGCTGGGGGACTTCCAGCTGTCACTGGTCTAAAGCATTGAGTCCAACACGTGTCCGCGGAGACCTCCCCGGCGATTCTCCACCACCGGACAGGGTTCAGAAGGCCACCCTACGTTATTCTCTCCTCTGATGTGGTCTCCGGGAGTGGGGGGCTGGGCTGAGCCGAGCGGCAGCTCAGAGCTGGTGTCCCCAGGGAGACAAAGACGCCATGGGGTGTGGGGAGTCGGTCAGACTACTCGGGGACCAAAGTGAGGGGTGAGGAAGCCGGGGCCGGTGCCGCTACCTTGAGCTTCACTTCCTGATCCACCTTCAGCAACGAGGCCATGGCCGGGTCGGGCCGTGTCCGCTCCGCTGGAGACCGGAGGCGCTGTGGGCTCCGGGGAGGGGATCAGAGGGACGGGAGGAATCTCGGATGCTCTCGGGACGCGGCCGACCTCGCTGGCTCACTCACTGTTCGTTCGCACCTTCCCTCCGTGCGGTCCACCCGCCCGCCTGCTGCCTGGTGCCTGCTCGCTATCTTGCTCGCCCTCCCGGCTTTCGCCGCTCACGCCGGAAGTTGCGTCACAGCCAATCGCCGGGGCTCCAGAGAGGATGCGCTCGTGCCCTGCGCAGCCGCGCTGAGGTTCGGCTGTGGGAGCTCGCGCCTGGGCTCCTAGCTCCCGGGCTCCTGCGCCCGGTGAGGGCAAGGTAAGGCGGAGGACGGCGGAAACCAGTTTACTGAGCCTCAAAGAGACTCGGGAGCCGTTTGGCTTGTTAGCCCGGCCTTGGCCTTCACCGAACGGATCTTCTGAGCCGCTGCCGCCTCGGGGACGGGACCCACGACGCCGTCGCGCCCCAGTGACGTCGGTCCGAGGAAGCCGGCGGCCCTTGCGATGTGTTCGGGAGTGGAGTGGGGGATGGGGGCCCTAGTCTGCGATTCCTGCTGCCTCCTCCCTTTTTCCCCCCGAGCTCTAGTGTTGGGCTAGAGCCAAACAAAAAAACAAGTTCTGTTGTACCAGGCTTCGCGACCTTTCTCCACCACTTAATCTTTTGCATTTCCACATCTCTGACATCAGCTGCCTGGTGGGCAAATTGGCGGTAGTGGGATAGGGCCAGTCCAAGGTTACATACTGTTTCCAGTAAATCCTGGACCAGAATCCAGGTCTCCTGGCTTCGAGGGCCATGCTGTGTCCATCTTCCTAATGGAAGGCAGAGACCGTACTTCTTCACTTTTTCATTTGGTCAACCTCTTTAACATTGGTTATTCTGCTCAATAAAATGGACCAGGACACTGCTAGACTCAGCAGCTGCCCCAGAACCTAGAAATACGAGTCACGGGCCTCCCCGGTGGCGCAGCGCTTGAGCGCTGGGCTGCGAAGCTACCCGCAGCCTCTGCAGCACCGGTTCGATCCCCGGCCGCAGGGCAAGGGTCCCACATGGCGCGCAGACCTCTCCTGCCGCCCGCTGCTCCCCTCAGCAGTGTACTTCGGTCCTTCTGCCTGCTCTGCTCCCGGCTCTGGCTCTGGTGAATTCTCTCACCCTCCCGTGCTTCTGACTGTACCCAGTGCTTGTATAAATAAACAAATAAATCTTTAAAAAAAAAAAGAAAGAAATGCGAGTCACTTATGTGAATGAACCACCTTTTGGTAGCCACATTGAAAAGTAAAACATTCGTTTTAATAATATATTTGACCCAGCTTATCCCCATATTTTTTCAACATGTTATCAACACAGTGAGAGCTTAAACATTTTCCCCCTTATACCAAGTCTTTGAAATTCCGTATGAATTTTACATTTACCGCACATCTCAACTCAGAGGTGCCATCTTTGCAGTACTCAACAGCCAAGTGTAACCACTTATTCCTATACTGAACAGCACAGTTCTGGGAAATTAAGAAGAAACGTTCTTTGGTCTCATGGGACTTAATACTGTGGAAAGACACCAGGAAGTGAATTGACAATTGCAAAATTCAACAAGTATTAAGAAACAAATGACCAACTTGGGGAATACCAGGAATCCATTTTAGATTGAATAGCCAAGAGAGGCTGCTCAGATGTAGTGAAGACAAACACAGGATGTTGAAGGGTTATCTTGGGAAGAGGGACAGGAGGAACCCACAAGGTATGCAGGCAAATACATTGAGGAAGACGGTCTTATTCAAATTGAAAGACTAGTAGTGAGCTGGGGGTGGAGGGTGGTGGGAGGGAATGGTGAAGGTTGTTAGGAAACAATTTGTATTAAGTGCAAAGGCAGATCATCTGGTTTACCTTTTGGGGTCACTTTTGCTGACCTGGGCAGCGTGGAAGGGAATTGGGGGCAATGTGAAGTTAGGTAAAGTAAGACTGACTATAGTCTGGCATCAGACCTGGCTTCAAATTCTTCCTTGATTTCAAGACTGAAATCTTGGGCAAAAGACTGAAATGCTCAATCTCAACTCCCTCCCCTGTAAGAATGTGATTTAAATAATTATCAAAATATAACTGTATAAGATAGTTTTGAATATTAGCACTCATGTAAAACAACTAGGTTGTAGAGAATATTGGAAATCACATATATGTAAAACACCTAACACAGTGTACCTGGCCACAAAGCGGGCACTTGATGAATAATAGCCCTGGTCAGATAAGCAACCTGTTAGTGCTTAAAAAGGAGAAATTACTCCTTAAACTGTAATAATTATTATTATCCCTGTTAACAGTTAACTTACCCCCCTCTTAAAATACATGTGGCAACCTGGTCCTCACATATTCTTCCAACCTCAGTAGTGATTTCTCCATCTTCTTTGCTGGCTTTTCTTCCACTACTCTACTTCTTGATAGTAGCACCCTCCAGGGTTCAGCCTTAGGTCTTTTATTCTTCTCCACTTAGACTTTCTCTTTAAGGGAGAAAGTTACCTATTTTCATAGCTTTAAATGCCATTTGCATGCTGATGGTCCCAAATATTTATCTCTAGTCTTGACATCTTCACTAAGTCCCAATCGTATACTTGACATCTTTATTTAGATAGCTAATTGGCAGCTCAAACTCAGTGTTGACAAATCAAAATTGTCTATTATCCCACATACCTGTTTTTTTCCTACTCTTCTCCATCTCAGTAACCACATAACTGTATTTGCTCAAATTAAATACATCAACCTTGATTCCTCTTTCTCTCATCTCCTACATCCAGTCCATCAGTGGGTCCTGTGAGCTTTACCTGTGCTGTGGATCCTATAGGAGCATACTTAGAGTTCTCGGTCTCCTCACCCTATTCGAAGTCACTGTCATCCTTTGCTTTTATAACAATAGACTCCTATTTGGTCTCTCTATTTCCACTCTTGCCACCACCCCATTCTACCACATTCTATTCTCTACTTAGCACACAAAATTATTGTTTAATATGTCAACCACGGTTATGGTAGTATCTACTAAATCTGTGACCCAAAAATTCCAACTTGAGGAACATACCCAACAGAGATAAGATATATAAACTCACTGAAGACATGAACAAACCTGCTCATAGCAATACTATCCACAATAGCCCCGACTGCAAACCACCTAAATTCCCCTCAACTGTAGGGTAGAGAACTGAATTTCAACATATTTGGACAATGGAATACTGTACAATATTGAGTCCAAACTAATCTATGGTGTTAGAATTGTTTACCTTTAGGGTGAATAACAACTGGAAGGGAGTATGGAGGAAGAGATCTGAGTACTGGTCACATGGGTGTGTTCATTTTTGAAAAATAAGTTGAGCTGTACACTTATGATTTGTGCCCTTTTTTTAAAAAAAGATTATTTATGCATACAAGAGCTGGGGTACAGGGCAGAGCTGCAGGGGATAAGAGGATTCACCAGAGACAGGGTGGGGAACAGAACAGGCAGACTGATTGAAATACACTGCTGAGGGGAACAGTGGGCAAGTCAGGAGAGGTCTGCTGCACCATGTGGGTTGCTCCCTGGCCGGCTGGCTGTGGACAGCTTCATAGTGTGGTGCTTAACCCTTGTACCACCAGGGAGACACGTGCCCTTTTCTTTATGTATTTTATACTTGAGTAAACTGTTGCGTTTTTTTTTTTTAACAAGTCAGACAGAGCCGATATTGTCCCTGCTTATCAGCTTCAATGGTTTCCCAGCTACAGGCTCTCATGAACTTTCCAGTTCCCTTGCCCCACTTATTCTTTATCTCACCATACCTATTCTGTTGGTTTGCTTCTTAATAAAGTGCCACAACTGGGTAACTTAGAACAAAAGAAATGTTTGTCTCATAGTTCTGGAGGTTAGAAGTCTGAAATCAAAGTGCTGACAGGAGTGTGCTCCCCCTGAAGGTTTGGGGAAGAAGCTATTCCAGGTTTCTCTCCTAGTCCTTGGTAATGGCTGGTATTCCTTGGCTTCCCCCTCTTGTCGCATGTCTTCCCTCCTGTCCATCTTTGCATACAAATTGTCCTTTTTTACAAAATATCAGTCATATTGGATTAGGACCCAACCTAATGACCTCACTAACTTGATCATCTGTAAAGACCCTATTTTTTAAAAAGATTTTAAAACTCATGCTGCAGTGGCTGGTGATAGCTTGATAGTGCGGTCTTTAACCCCTACACCACTAGGGAGGCCCTAAAGACCCTATTTTTAAGTGACACGACATCTACAGATACTGAGGGCTTAACATCTTTGGTGGGGGGAGGGGAAGACAATTCAATCCATAACATTTACCATTATCTGAAATCATCTTATTCACTTGCTTACATGTTTATTGCCAAATTCTCTCCTGTAGAATATAAGCTATTAAAACAATTCTTCAATGTATCCTCCCACTCTTAGAAGTGATGGGCACATAGTAGGTCCTCAATAAATATTTGTTGAATTGATGACTTAGAGTATGTTGATTTTTCACAATCATTCAAGCACTAAGTATACTGACTGCCCTGTATTCTCAAGCAGCAGAGCACACAAAGAGTTTATTTTGTACCAGACATTGCTCTTTGTGCTTTAAGTGTGCTTTAGCTCATTTAATTGCCACGCTACCTTAGGTAATAAATATTATTATTCTCATTTTATAAATGAGAAGATGAGGCATGGAGTATTTGAATAAATTGCTCAAGGTCAGGATTGGTGAATGACAGTGAGGTTTTAAACCCGGACAATCTAGACGATTCTCACCTGTAATTTCGACAAGCCAAACCACTGTAGAAGTATCTCTAGGCCAGTCTGAGACAGTATTAGGGGCGACTAAGCAGGAAGAAATGCAGTTGGACTACCAAGAACCAGCCAACCAGGCCTAGGTGAGAATTCTTTGGGGATGATTCCACTCACCTCCTCTAGAGGGGGTCTCATGCTGAAAGATCCCAGAGGAAGAAGAGTTGTAAAAACTCTTTAGCCATATGGGGTAGAAAATCAATCTAGTATCTAATACCAATTATAGTGGAATCACATAAATAGAGATCACATACAATCAGAAAGTCAATTCTGGAAGTGGGAACAACTTTCCAGGCAATGTCATTTACCAAGAGGTAAAAAGGACAAATTTAAAACTGCACATCTGGAAAAATTATTAAAACTCCTTTGTACATATACTTAATTAAATAGAC